CAAGCGAGCCTTCCAAAAAAGTATTGTAAAATAATATAAAAAAATTTTTTATCAATTGTGTAACGATTTTGTGACGTATCAACGGTTCCTCCTGTTTATCTGATGTTTTATTAATTCCATTAAAAATTAATACGCAGGCATTACTACATTTAAGTACGTACAAAGAAACACATAAAATAACAGTTAATAAAAATTAAATATTATAACGATAAGTGATTATTAACTGGAAATTCTATCGGCTTATTAGCCACATCAGCCATCCTAACCTTTTTTTAGTCTATTCTAAATTAGTCTTATCGCATAAGTATTTTTTTTTATTTTATTCCTAAATTAGTTTAATCACAGAATACGTTGCTTTATTTCTATATTAGTCTTGAGAACTAGGTTAAAACAATACACCTACAATACGATAACCTGCAGCCACATAATCTACTGATGTATACAATATTACAATACGTCGTTCCTTTGATAAATGAAGGTAGAGAAGGCTTGCAAGCATTTTATTTCACTTTTTCCCATCTTTTCGTACTGCTATCATGTCTAACACAACAAGAAGTACACGTCCTGTAACTCGAGCATATGCAGCCCAACATCAAATAAAAATTGACCCATTGCCTCCTGCTAGTCATCATCCTGAACCGAGTCGACGCCGAACACGAACTAGAATTAACAGTATAACTTTATATTCGACACGCAGGCAGCGAGGTGCATCTTCTCAGCAATCTCGATCTCGAAGCCAACAACGAAAAACGACACTCGCACAAATAAGGGAAAAGTCATCCTCACCTCAACAAGAAGAACTTGAAATTCGACATAGGCAACTGACACCTTATTATGTTCGTGAAGAGTCTAGCCAGCAAACATCCTCTCCTCAATATTTACCAACTATACCTGAATCACCACAATTGCATGAAAGATTGCATGAAAGATTGCATGAAAGTGGGCCGATCATTACGTCCGCTACGGGTGTTAGTCATGATGAATGGTTTAATTATAATGATAGTCCTGATCTCACCGGCCAAAATCCTGAAGAGTTTGATTCATATTCGTATGATGCATCGCAATCACAATCTCCCGAATTTCTGTCAACAAGTTCGCAACCTATACGAGATGAAGAACAAATTGAGATAGAATTTCAACCAGAACAACCACAATTCGTGGAACCTTTAAACATTGTTAGGTGCAATTCGTTTTATTATGAAGATGACTATGGTCAGCAAGTGACCCGACCATTTCAAAGACGACAACCAGTACCTGCGATTGCTGTTGTAGAAGGACCTTTAATCCGAAATTCAACAAGTTATCCACAAATTAATAACGTTCGCGGAAATAGACAACAAAATAATTCTCACCAACCAAACGGTACATTAAGCATCTATTTATGTTTTTTTTTCATTATAAACAAATTAAACAAATGAAATGCATGATTAAATATCTTCTTTTTTTTTTATTCAGGAATTTCACACGAAAATTGAATGTCATCCTACCATCTGTTTATAAATTAATTACTGTAAATTGTAATTTTGTGATAGTGACTTATGTTGAGTTTCTTCTTGAGGAACTTGTGGTTTCGTGACTTATTTATCAAATGTGTTTAATCTAATTTGTTTTTTTGTCATATTTTTTTTTTCTTTTTTCCTTTTTTTTTTGTAATTTACCAAGAATGAGTGTACTTTCGCTCACGTGATTAAACTTGTCTAATAATGCATTTAATTAAAAAAAAAAAATACACGAACGTTATGAATCGAGTCCAATTATTATTATTTTTAGAGTGTTATTTTTAAAGTGTTGTTGCGAATAATTTGAACAGATCCGAAATAGGGGTCCTTTGAAATTGTCAAATTTGTAAAACAAACCTTAATAATAATTTAATGATATTTATTAACATGTGTTTTTTTTTCTATGTGTCGCGTGGTTAATTTTGTTTTTTTTTCAAACTTTCTTTGGTTACTAAAACATCAGCTAACATGCATGCAGACTTCTCATGCATGAGCAAAAATTGATATATGTGGATTATTAATAATACAATGCCTATGTGAATATGAAATACTCATAAAAAAAAAAAAAATGCAGAATTTAAGTACATACGTACGTACACACGTACGGGGGTATTAACAAGGAAACTAAATGCATATATGCGCATTAAATTTACATATACAAATTATGTGAATGAAGTGATTATTAAAAAAAAAAAAAAAAAAAGTCCCAATTTCTCCTAATTTTTCTTTTAATTTCTCCTAATTTTTCTTCTTATTTCTCCTAATTTCATTTCTAATTTCACTTAATTTCTTCTCGGAGGAACACATTTTCTTTCCCACCACTCATTAGTACTGAGTCCCATTATCAACAAATAACAAGCCACAGGGACCCAAGTAAGTACCAAAATTGCAGAAAATAAATTACAACTAGGCATATGGTTTTTGAGATAACAAAATCTATCCGGAGGTATCATTAATATATTCATGACAGCTAATATAAAATATGTCAAAAATCCAATAGCGCATAGTGCAATTGTTCTTATTCCAGTTTTACAACGAACTAAAGAATTAAATACTGAAATTAATTCCAGCAACGTTAATATACTTTGAACTACTAAAGATGCAGGAAAAAATATTTCACTACTGTGGTCTTCGAAAAATGAATAATCTCGCAGGATTAACATTGTTATGAGTAGTATGAGTATTATCATAAGCATTATATTGAAGAATCGGATTAGTCTGTTAATAGTGTGAAGATGTAAACTAAATACTGAATCTGTTGAATCTGATAGATTTATAGAATTTATAGAATTTATAGAAAAAGAATCAAATATTAATGAATGTTCAACGTTGTTTGTGGGTAATTTTTTTTTGGGGAAGGAATCGTCTATTTCTTCTGTGTCTATTATAGCTAATGTTGGTGATTCTTCAACATTCATCTTATGATGTATGATACAACTTTACAAGAATTATCTTGACTTTTTTTAAAAAATTTAGATTTTAAATTCATCACAATATTCAAAGAAAGGAAAGAACATAAAATGGATTATTCATGTGGAATTCTATATTTATTAATTATTTATCTCCTAACGGCATGCAGAAAATTTTCTTTGCATGAACAAGCTGTGAACATTTGAATCACCAATCATTGCACGATTTAATGTACGCTTTTTAATCTAACAATTAATTTATTTGCTAATGCAAATGTCACCCAATAGCTACCAAAGTGAATACGAGTTATACAAACTTTGTTGTACAGCAATTTTAGCTTTTAAAGAACAATCATTCTAAGTTTCAGAAGTATCACGTGCTCCAACCTTTTTTCTTATCCTGCTCCTTAAATAACCTATCCAAACTCTTGGCCTAACCTATTTTGGGTTAATTACCTAAATATTTTTGTCTCCTCCTATCGCTATTTATACCTGATTATAACCCTTATCGCGTACATGCGTACCTACGCACCTAAATCAGAATCTTTTTTTGTGTTCGTTGTCATACTCGGCATAGGCGTTCGTTTGAATATTGTATTTTTTTTTTTCCTATTAAGCAAAGATAATTATGTTAATCGGTATATAAAGTCCAGTCTGATCGGATCACTCAGAATCCGTTAAAGGTTAGAGATTATCTGTGAATCAATGAGAATCAGTTTTTTTTAAAAACTTACTAAGCTTGTGGTACCTTTAAAAATTTTCCTTTTGAAATTTGAAGACTTAAATTAGTTAAAAAGTACTAGCAATTAAACTTCACACAATGCCACAAAAGTTTTTTTTTTTTTTTTTGTTTAGAGTTTATGTTTAAGGGTATAATTCTTTATGTACGTACCGTATCATATTACAAATAAGTAACTTCCCCTTCTGTAACTTTGTATCAAAGATTATCGTGATCCAATAATTTGAATCTGGTATGTACTGTACTGTACAGTACCAGTCGTTTATTCAAAAAAATTATCTAGATCCAATACTGCAATATCTCTCGTTACCCAAATGCTGGTGTAATTTGACAAAACTTTAGTAAAATTTCCAGAGTTAGTAACCTACTTAACCAAATTAGATCAAGTTTTCATTTTAAGTTCTATAAATTCTATATGTTTGTAAAACAAAAAAAAAAAAATTCATATAATTGGATTTTGTGCGGTTATAATAATATAATAGTAATAATAAATAGCATTATTTTAACTTAACGTTAAAAAGATAATCGGTTGCACTGAATAAAAGTATTAATGTCCTAATTTGGTAAATTATAAGTCCGGTTCTCTGTACAACCTATAAATAGATTTCACGTAAATTTTTAAAGTTTTGCTAAATATAAATTATTAATTAAATGCTATCCACATTGTTTTACCGACTTATTAAGCCAAGAGTACCAATAATTTTTTCAAATTTAAGAAATTATGCTTCCTCACAAAAGCCGCAGACTTCCGCATTTACAGTTTTTGATCGTAAAGCAAAAAAATTACAAAGAGATCGAGCTGCTTTAGATATTGAAGCTAGTAAACAAGTTGACTATCTTAAAGATGAAGTTGCATATAGACTTGTGGATAGATTGTTGGTGATTTAATTTATTATTAGATGATAAAATTATGAAAATTCTTGTTTGGAAAGATGACTATAATATCTGATATAGTGGTTGATTTTGTAGGATGTTAAGCGAAAGTATGATACAATTGTTGATTTAGGTTGCGGATGTGGGCATGTAGTGAAACATATAGATCAAGATATATCAAAAAAGTTGTTGATGTGTGATATGTCAGGTTTGCATAAAAACATTTCAATTACCATTAACTCACCACATTTATCACGTTTATTGACATTAAATTTTTTTTATTTTAGAGAAAATGTTAGAAAGAGATAAAAATGTAACATACGATGGTAATAAACTTAATATTTATTCTGAATCTTTTTCTGAAACTTTTGAATTCTTTTGAATTTTAAAAAAATTATATCACTTTTTAGTTGAAGTTGAACGAATTGTAGTAGATGAGGAATTACTTCCATTCAAGGAGAATTCTTTGGAGGCTGTAATTAGTAATCTTTCATTACATTGGGTAAACGATTTGCCAGGTGCTTAATTCTCTTTAATGTAAGGGTTTTTTGTATGTTACCAATGAAGTTTATTAATACTATTTGTAATTCGTTTGTGATTCGGTTGTACCAGGTACAATGATTCAAATTCAGAGGTCATTGAAACCGGATGGTCTATTTCTTGCCTCGATGTTTGGTGGTGATACTTTATTTGAACTCAGGTATACAAATATGCATAATTATTCCAGTGAGAATTTATTTCTGTTTTATTTATTATT